ATTGACTCAGTTGTCCGTCTCTATCTCTTGTCTGCAATTCAATTCCATTTTTGCCGTCACTTCTTGGCGGTCTTACATACAAGAATACCGCACCTCTAGTAAACACTCGAGCATTCACGAACCTTCGAGAATATCATGACGTGTTACTAGAGTCACGTGACTTCCGCTGTCGTAACTATATATATATATATTCAATTATTACTAATGGCTGACATGAAAAGAATTAGAATCATACAGAAAATAATGGGTGGTCTGTATAAAGTACCAAATGCGAAGTGAGCGTGAGAAGGTCTAAGGGCCACGCAGGCCTACAGCTATGCCCAGGAGAGATACTAAGTTGAGGTTCCAATGTCTTGATATTTGATGATGAAATGGAAGACACAGTAACTACGTAGGAACTATATAAGCCATCAGCAGTCCTACATGCTCGGCATTTGTCTATGTAAAAGCTAACGACCCTAGAAGGCCCCAATATACAAGCAGTAACCTTGAAAAATGAAAGATATAAACCCTTGAAGGAAGTATGCAACGATAAAACACCATCTCAACAGTCTTCTCACGACACCTCAATGTTGTGTGTGTACCTTCAATACAACATTATGTGAATAATCATATTGTTTATATATATATATATATATTACTATTGACAAAGTAGCTTGAAAAATAAAAAGCAGTATCATTCGAGTATCATAACCCAAATTTTCAATGACATTTTATACTTTAACCAAATATAGTTTCGTAATAAAATGCAGCTTATCTTTTGCGTAGTTTTATGTCTGACGTTGGTAAATAATTAACTTTTTTAGCATCGATCTATGCAAAATTGTTGATTGAAACTTACTCAAAGTAATCTACAATCTAGTGAGTAAGCCGTAAGGCAGTAGGCTTACGACGCTAAAAATCGGCTTTTGATACCCGTGGTAGGCACAACACAGATAGTCCAATATGTGTCGTTGCGCTTAACAACAACAAAACGCAAAATGTATTCAATTTTTATTTGCATCAGTGATTTTCAGTGCAGGAGAAAAAACTAGTTTTAAAGCTTCTCTAATAATTCTCAAAATAAAAGTATAGTTATAAAAATGCCAACAGAGGGGCAATATAAATATGGCGGCCGTAGTACGACATAGGTTTTGGAACGATTTACCAACTGTTGTTATTACAGAAATTTTATCTTATTTGTCATTCGGTGATCGTCTTAGATGTTCCTTAGTGTGTAAATCTTGGAGGCAATGTCTTTTCAGTTCACAGTTTTGGAAAAACGTTGTTTTTGTGATAAACAACGGCAATACCCCGTCAACTTTACAAGTATTGTGGTCAAATAATCGAGCAAGGTCTCGATTTTTTCATAAAGTACTTAAATGTTGTAAAAATTCAGTTCGTAATGTTCAGGTTCGGTTCAATTCTCTGAATGGGGAAGATGTTTTGCAAGCTTTAGAAATCACAGAAACTTTAGTTACTCTAAGGAGTAAACTACAGGGTTTTTCGTTAGAGCCTTCAAGTAGTCACATTGAATGGAATTGTAGATCAAGCTGTAAAAGAAAAAACGAAGAGGATTTAAATTTCACGAACAAATTAGGAGATCACATGCAAAAAGGAGTTCATCAGAATGTTTCGCAAGCAAAAACTGAGGATAAAAGGAATTTTCAAGACAGGTTGTTGTTACTTGGAGTTGGAAATTAAATAGTCACTCTTTGTTAATCATAATATTTATTAATTATAATAGCAAATCCAAATCTATACTTTAGCCCAAAGTCTAGGCTCTGGAACCACTTATCAGTTTGACTTACATTTATGGATCAGTTAAACTAAAAACTTCTAAAAAGGCTTTGAATTTTGGACAACCTTTCATGGATAAATTAACCTTAATTGAAGACACTGAATTGCAATGCTTAAATTTCATGTATATATTACAGTTACTAAAACCAGTATTAATGTAGCTACATGCTAAACTTTTATTGAATGATATGTTTTTAGATTTGAGGCTAAATATTGCATTTTGATATTTTTATTTCATTTTCTATTATATATTTTTATTGGATGGTTAGTCATCTTAAAGTTGATAGTGCATATAATAAACTATGAAATAATACATCTCATATAACATAAGTGATATAAGTATAATCATGATGTTAGAAAAACAAATAGGTTCAAGAAGTCTTGATAGAAATGAATAAAAACCCTATAATCTGAGCGCTTTTGAAAGGTGGACCTTTCTTCTTCAGGGGCAAACTGCGAATCTGAAGAAGAAATGTCCACCTTTCAAAAGTGCTCAGGTTAGAGGGTTTATATTCATTACTATAAGTATAAATTAAATGAATTCTGTACAAGAAGGCTTACTTTTAGTAAGCTACTACATTATTTATGATTTATAAATGATGAAGATAACTAATGTAACAAAAACATGTTTTCTGATCCTTTACCTTTAATCCAAAGAAAGAGAAAGTTTAAAAAGGTAACTGAAGTTATCTAGGAATTCAAAATACATAATAGTATTTAGCTACTGTTCTGTGCTGACTACTATAAAGTTCATATTTAAGTTGTAAATGTTAGTAAGTGATTTACAGTAACTGATATTTTATAGCAGCCATAACAAGAGTTATGAGATCTTGTGCAAACAGTAGTATTAAATACATTTGTAAATATTTTACCTACCTGTTGCTGAATAAAGGTTATACAAACAATACTTTTTTTTTCTGCCACAAGATTCTTTGGTTGAAATACTGTTTTCAAAGTAATTTCCTGTAATTGTTAAGAGAGTAAGTAAGAAAACTATTAATGAAACATTTAAAAAACAAATTTCATAAGCTGGCCAAATAATGTTAATAAGCTTTTTATATAACTGCGGATTGTCATTAATATCTGCAGTATATCATTATGTAATAAAAAAAGAGTAAAATTGAGTGTTCAATTAATTATTCATCAAAAGAACTAAGTTATAATATGGGATTTTAGTTACATTAAACAGATTTTTATCTGCTATATGATATCAGGATCAAAAATCATGTCTTTATACTGTAAAATGATATGAAACATATGTTACAAGCAGGAATTTACTTGTTATTTTTCTTTCTTTTTTTTTATCTTTCTCTGCTCTTAAGGTAATTTAGTTGCCTTTCACATTTTGTCATTGTTGCATAGAAACAAGTATGGCAGCTGTATATATTATATTATGCCATTTCATGGAACTTTAAGATACTCATGATATTGAAAATGTGTACAGATTTCAGCTCTCTCTTTCACCAACTTTTGATATTTTCAACCATTTATTGTTAACACAAGGTAATGAGTGGATATTCAAGGCAAACGAACTGTAGAAAATATTAAAACAAAAGCTTTCCTTAATATTGCACAAACACAAAGAAATATGTATACACATAAATAGAGCTAAAAAAATATGATTGCCATTGGCAACTAGAAAAAGTTCTGATGCGTAGAAATACTGTATTCATTAACAAATAAGCTGTACCACATTTATTGAAACAGATAAAAGAAAAACAAATTGAATATCTTAAATGTCTAATGGGTGCCCTTGTTTCACAGACTTAGTCTGATTTGTTGATGCCTTACCAGCTGCACGAGAAAATGAACTAGCCAGTAATAGCAGTCCATTTTCACAAACCTAAGGCAACTCTAGTAAAATTGAGATACCCGACATAAACTGATGATATTGTAACTTGAAATGTTTATTACTGAAACTACACTGCACCATGTAGATTGTTACTTGCAGCTTCATTGTATTTTGTATTATGAAACAAATATATTTAAAATATAATGCTTTATAAAACCAAGTATATTATTTGTTAACAAAGTAATTTACTTTTAACTTCTCAACTGTAAATGACTGCCTCTTGTCACTCATTTTTTCCATAATCGTTCTTTATTCAACAACCAATGATATGAGTTTCTAAAATACAATATGTAACAAATTACTTTTAAGAGTCATTTATTGCCAAGGACATAAGAGTAATGGACTTTTATGGGCAAGATTTACCAGAAGATTATCAACCACAAAAAGCTGTTGGTAAATAGTTTTTCTGAACGAAGGAATCTAGGCACAACCATGGTCACAAGTGAAAGCTGTCTGACACAGATTATAATGAGCCCTGCCTAAAGAATAGCACATATTCCTGATCAGTGAGAATCTTTTCAGTAGACAATTTTGTCTCAATTTCAGCTGGCTCGCAGAAAATTTAGCTGTCTACTGACCTTTTTCAAATGTTTGAAGCCCTTTGATATACATACACAAACAAGTACACACACACACACAGGTAACATGTTTGAAAGCACTTGAAACTCAGTATGTATACAATTTCTGTTTAGCTTATATGGCCAGCCCACCAGACAAAACTAAAGTTGCAAAAGTTTTTATATTTCAAATGTTTGTTTTTGAGGAAAGTCTTGTGTTTGCACAATGTAATGTAAAACTTGTTTTTAACCAGTACTTATTATTTTGAAAAGTAAATATATGCTTTTTATAGTTATCCTTATTTTATTTATATGTTTTTAAGGTTCATCAAAGCCATCAGAACATTGATGATGCAAGATAATCATCTTAAGCATATTGGTTTTGGATTTATTGAGGAATTGGTTGAAGATGGAAATTCTTATTTAACTCTCTTGAGTCAACATCAGGCAGAATCTATTCAAAGCTTACATCTAGCATCAGTTCAAGAAACTATGTATGAAAAATCCAAAATTGTTTATCAAGCAAACCTTTTTCATTGTTTAATTCATCTGACGATTTTAAGTATTGATTTTGATCAAGTAACTGATGCACTATTGACTGCTTTGGCTGACCAAAACAGGCTTCCTCTAAAACAACTACTTTTATATTTAAGTAACTTAAATCCTCATTATCAACCAGTATCAGTGAAAACTTGGATGACACTCACCAAACAAAGTCCATCTCTAGAAGTTACAGTGACGTTACTGCACTTCAATGATGAAAGTTCTGTTTTGTCAGAAATTCTCAGCTCTCATATGCCGCTGACACACTTCCGGTCATTTTTTAGTGCTGGAATAGACGAAGATCTTCTGTATCAGTTAGCTGTTAGTAACAGTGAAACATTGCAATCACTTTACATTATGGACAGTCTGTCAGAAGAAAAAGGACCCAGTGTGTCATTTTTAGTTGTTGATGAAGATCCTTTTGTCATATTAGCTTGGAAGTGCAAAAAATTAACATCTCTTACAATAATAGGTAAGTTAGTTAATGTAAAAAGCTGTTATCTTAATTCAATATTTTTTGTTTGTTTTTCCAGTAAAATTTAAGGTTTTTGCAGTTTTTAAATCAGTGATGTCATTTTTGTTTATAAATAGAAATAGAAACAAGTGCATTTTTATTTTATGTATTTGTAGCTACATAGCACTTGTATTTGCTGGTTGGAAAAACTTTCATAAAAAAATTAGACAAGTATAAGGTGTAATGTCTGAAAGTACTGAATTTTTGCCATTGATGTTATATATGCATGTACATCAACGTATTGATAACAGTACTATTAAATATAGATTTGTAACTATTTTTATTTTCAACTGCTTGCTACAGATTATATAAACAATGTTTTTGCTTGTTACTTTGAATTAATTTCCTAGATTCATCTTTGAGAAATTAACAAGACTTTTTTGAAAAACATTAATTAATAATGTATTAATTTTTGTAAATGGTCAGTTGTGAATATTATAATGAGTAACAAAAGACTTCTATATCTAGTTATGCATAAATACTGCTACAACAGTCAATGAGGCCCACTGCATATACATTCTCTAAATGTGTGTCAATTGATAGCTATATGACATATGAAGAGCAAAATGTGGAGTTGGATATATGTCTGTCCCAATTGTTCTTAGTTAGTTTTTTTCATTTTTCTCAGTCTTTCCACATTCAAGCTTGTCAGTGAAAATAACTATTCTGTCTTCCAAAACTTCATAATTGTTCCATTCTAAAGCATTCTTCATTACCCAAGAGTTGATTCCTTTTTTATAAACTTTTAAAAAGTTCTCAAAGTATTATACAATAATTCTAATATAGAAAACAGTACATATGATGAAATTACAGAGAAAAAACTCTGTGATATTGAACTTGTAAATTGTTAAGGATCATTTGCTTAACGAAGACTGCTACTTAAGTTGTAATTTATAAGTATAAAAAAAATAAATGCATTTCAAAGGTTGGAATGAGATTATGATAACTGTTATTATTAAAATTGAAAGTGAGTTGCCATTTAAGTACTATAATTTTGTAAGTTTCATTTTTTTTTAGTCAAATCTAAAATTGATAAAGGTATAATATTCTCATCACTCATATCCGTATTGTATAAATAGTTAAGCACGTCTATAAACATACTGAATAATTCTGGATTAATCTTTGCATTATTAGTTTTATATTTAAAGTAATAGAATAAAAATGCACTACATAATGGTTACACTTGTATTTTTGTAGGATTTGAAGTTGCTGACTTGAATGTTATTGCTTTTGCTCGATTACGGGGATCTAATTTGAAAGAACTTAAGATTCCTGCCTGTTGTATAGTTGTTGGTGATGATGGAAAAGATGTAGTTTATCTTGATCAAGTTGCTCCAAATAAGTATCATACCCTAGTGAATGAAGTTTCTAAAAGCCTACAGTTTCAGTGGAAACCTTTATCAACTTTTGAACTCCATCCTTCAGTTATAAATGTGGAACTGGATGCTGAAGAGGCTTACCTTTGGTACATATTGAAAGATCAGAGGTGGTTAGATGTTGTAGATTAATAAGTCTTGTTGAATACTCTTTGTTGTGATTAAATATAGTAAGAAGTATTTTACCTTCAGACACTGTTACTCTCATCATTGACGATCTTGTGAAATCTTCTGTCACATCAGAGAAGAAAATGTTGAGAAAGTATTTCTTAAACCATATTATTGTCATTGAAAGAGTTTGTGACACTTGAAACATTTGCTTTCATGTGGTTCATCCATATTGAAAAGCTATATTTTCAAGCTTTTTGTTTTCATCTGGAGTACTCATGGTGATGAGAGATTTTTTCTTAGTGTGAGTATTTTGTGTTGACTGAATCATTGTTAGTTGATTTTTATCTTACCACCAGTGTTCTCTGTTACATATACCATACTTTTTTTTTGAATGACTCTTTTTTAAATTTAAGTATTATATCTGGTTCAATTTCATACTGTAAATTCCAGTATATTTTGCTATTCATATTATCTATGATGAAAAGAAATTTCATTAAATCACCTTTTTTCATAAGAACAATTATTTATTCCAATGTGCTTTATCAGCAAAATGATGTCTGTAATTAAACAAAACAAGTTTGAATTATTTCTATATTCACCTCAGTGTGGTCTCTGACTATAGTAATGTGAAGAAATACTGAAGTATTTGTTATATGTCAAACAACCAGGAAGTTGTGTATATTTTATTCTGTTGATAGAAGATTAAGTATGAGAAGCATCATGTTTTAAATATTCTGAAGTCTGTAAGTTATATTAATGTAATCAAAGTTTGCATAAGTATTTTTTTTTATGTAATTTGGTATTGTAGTATCCTATGGGTTGGAAAAGACACCAAAATTCTGGAAATAAGCTAATCTCTCAGATTTATAGATATGGGCTTTTCTGTGGCATTCTAAAGTGAAAGACAATATCACTGCATACTGTTCAATTTTCAGTTATTTTATAAGATCAAACAACAAGAATGTCGTCTTTAACTCAAGCTCTGGGTGAGTTCCTTATCATTAATTTTTTATAGATGTTACATTGTGTTAAAGAAAATTTACTGCACAAAAAAATCATTAAGCTCTAGCATGATATTTATTGGAAAGACATAAACAACCTCTTCTCATTACAGAAGTGCTTTTCTATGCACTCTTGAAATTCAAGTTAAAGTGTATTTTGATGTAACGAAATCTCTTGTCTGATAGAAAAATGCAACCTGCCCCAAAACATTTCATGATTGATTATTAAGCATGTTTCATGACCATAAGAAGTAAAATATACAATGATAAAAAATACCTTATGAATATTTAACATTAACTCATGAGCTTTACAACCAAAATAAGTGGCAAAGCAGTTTATAAAGAACAATTAGTAGGAGTTGTTATGAAACCCTAATATATGCAACATCATGCTCTCAATTGAAAGTTTTTTGCGACTATTATTCATGTTTGCATCAGGTGTTGTTCTTTAATAATTTAAAATATGAATGCAAAACTAATAAATGTATAGAACAATACATTTTACCATTTTTAATTACCTATGGCAAGAGTTGCTTTCACTCTGCAGTAACTGGGTGCTGAAAGCCAGCTGCAATTTATCTTTTAACATAATACAGCACAACTGTAACTCTCGAAAGCAGAGTAAGAAAAAATTGAAAAATTACTCTCTATCATTTGCCATATATTATTAGACAAGGATTTAGACAGTCATAAGTGATGTAAACACTTAGCCATTTTGTGAATAAACTTACATATTTCATATTAGAATTAATATTCTACGGCTTCATGAGCACTTATTTTTAACAGGCAAGGACTTAAAAGGAGTTTGTACATCACTTTTTGTTAGCCGGAATTGAACTATGGCTTGTAATTTAGAACCAAATCTTGTTTTCAACTAGTTACACAAATTAAATATATTTGTGTTTTTTCATGAATACATTGAAATCAGTGCTTTTTATAAATTATTGTAATATTGAGTAAATAAAGCTCTAAAAATATACAATAATGAAGCTAATGTAAGAAGTGACTGCTATAACTTCTGTACTAGGTTAATTGAAAAAGGATCGTGAGGTAAAAGCATCTCTTGTCTGAGATGAAGTGTTATCACATTTTTGAAGTCTTAAGAAAAGTGATTGTTTCAAGTAACTTTTTGTGTTGTATCCTTACTCATCGCTGTTATTCATATGAATAATAAATTTATTATGATTAATCCAAATGGCAATTCTTCTGATGTTTTCATTTAAACATGGTATTTTCAGGTCCAACTCTTTTTCTTAGAGCAAAAAAGATAGGTTCACAAAATAACAAAAGATATTTATTACAGAATAATCCTGAATTCTCTAAGCCTGAGTTTGTGAAAAATAAAGAGATTGGATACAAATGTACAGAAATACAAGGAACAATCTTTATTAAATGCAGTGTGTATGTATGTATTGCTTCAACACAGAGAATGATCACTTTTAATGAAGAATTCGAGACTTGTTAATTCTTCAACTTTTGAACCATTTGATCTTAATAGCTTCTGAATAAACTAATTCTTGAATAACTCTTTAAGTCTGAGAAGGCTACATATTCTGTAGTTAAAATCTATAGTGTCATACTTTCCCATTTCGAATAGAACTATCCATGTGACTGATCATTCCCATTTGAAAATAAGGGAGGTTGTAGCCTCAATACATCACCTGACATACCATTGGAGAAAAAATACAGTCCACATTCATACACTAGGAGCAGCTTTACAGCTATTCCTTACATGGGCAGACCAGCACAGGAGAGTATGTAGCTTGAGTGAAAGTAACTCAGACTTCTTGACTGTGTGTTACGTGAAAACTACACATATCTGAATAACTGATAATTTTTTAAAAATTCTATATTAAAACAAAAAGGTATAAAGTGCATACAATGTCTGAATACACTCCCACCCATGATTCAAACATGATGTCAAATTGACATTAATTTTCATCCTTAAAGCCAATAAACTTTATACACTCACACTGGGCAAAGAAGTACTGTAATTTTCTTTCGCCCTTGTAAACACATCCAACATAGACTACACAATCCTTTAACGAAAAATGCAACATATTAATTAATAATTTTACATAATTAAAATAATTTTAATAATGATACTACTGTTGGAAATAAGATTTAACACAATAAAAAACTCAAAATCTCAATACAGCAGAAAATACTTTAACAATGAAATTAAAAAAGTAAACACTTTAACCTAGATATTATAGGTTTACACAAGAAAATCACTTTGACAAAAATAGTAATTTAATAAACATTTCAACCTTCTACAAAATAAAATTTTTCATGTATAAAATACAACCTCATAAACTCAATGTATATCAAAATAACCATTTAACATTGAATGCTAATTTACAGTAGCATGGAAAAACATTCTTTAACACTAACAGTCAATAATTACACAAAAAGAATATATTTTAACATTGATTAATATTAATAGTTTTGTTTTGAATTTACTAACTGATACTGCTCCCCAGTGGCACAGCAATATGTCTGTGGAATTGCAATGCTGAAAACCAGGTTTTGATACCAATGGTGGGGAGACCACAGACAGTCTATTGTGTAGCTTTGTACTTAACTTCATACAAACAAACAATTACTGAATAAGTAAGGAAGATTACTGTTTAGAACAGGTATGACGTTTTGATCACTGGTGCAATCATTCTCAAGTACTTCAACATAATACAAATCACAAAACAAGCCATGAGATATTAATGCACCTCTTATCCAGAAGAGGGTCATGACTGCCTTGTGGATCATTAACTTCGATTTGTATCTGTTGGAAACAGCATGGTCTGGTAGATTGTCCATCAACAGAATTTCCAGTATTTCAACTAGAATAGGGTGGTCTTATCTGAAGCTGGTCAGTGAAGACATGTTCAATTATCTATTCAGTCTCAGACTTGCTAGGCCATACACCACCACCATGACTTTCAGTCATTCTATCTCCCTCACATTGAGACTGAATTTCAGGGAAACAACTCGATCGGTTATTCTGAATACACCAATTCCCAGCCATTGTCCAGAAAAAGTCTGAAATCCAAGAGACCTGACAACCGTCTCCTGTCAGTGGCTAGCTCTACCTAATGATAATAAGTTATTCAACTCCTCAAATATGCCATTTCTTCGAGTATGAAGCCTTTTTTAAACTTAGTAACTCAAGAGTTAAGAAAAGCACATAGTAATACACTTGGCAAAAGAAAAACTGAACATTCTGGAAAAACAAATCCCAGGTCACAGTACGAAAATTTTCTCCTTCCTACCTACTCTGATGTATTTTTAGGTGCTCTGATTCTCCTAGGATGATCAGATAGGCTCCACAGAATAATAGGAGGTTCAACTGGAATACATGTTATAGAGAAAACCTGAAGTCTCTGACCTTAATTAAATTTGAAGAAATGGAGGAGACTGTGCACAATGTATAATAAAATTAAACCATTTTTATTCAAACCACAAAACAATTAAAATAGTGTATTAACAAAGGATTGCACTTTTAGTGGGGAGGGCTCTTTGTATATCTAGATCTGTGTATTTCTAGAAGTGTGTTGAATCTCTCATAGAATCTATCTCGGACTGATAAAACATAGCATTATATAATGCTATTATTCTCAGAAGTGCATGTACTACTCACATGACAGTTGGTCACTCCCATCGAAAAATAAGGGGTGACCTGACTTGCCAAAGAAAAATAGTACTCTCTACTTTCACATAATATATATACATATTTGCAGAAATATTTCTCCAACGAGAAGGCACAGGTGACACCTTAGGTGAATGACTCAGAACAGTAGCTAACTAGAGTGAAAGAAATTTGGCTACTTGCATGACTAACGTTCTGTGTTAAAACCACATACACCTGTATATAGGAAAAGACTTACTTTAAACAAGAAGGTAACAAACATATGGTATGACTGCATGCCACACGGTTACAATACCTTCTAAGTTGCAAACTTGGTCAGGACTACCCAGTACTGTTTTCAAAGCAATTTATACTACATAAAAACGTCTTTTGATGTATCTGAAATTAAGGATGCCGATGGTAATTCAATTGACACGAATAACACCATGCGATATGACTTGAAGTTTCACCTTTCTTCTGAAATAGATCATGATTTTGTTGAAGTTTCCAATGACACTGCCTTTCTGTGGTGAAAATGTCATTATTCTCATTGCATCTTATGCTTTTTGCATTTTTTGGTGATTTCTTGGTACAAAACTGTCTATAATGCATCTTGGTTTTGTGTTCGCACCAGAACAAGAGATCAAGTACCTTACTGTCATGGAAGAAGCATAGTGGAGTGTTCATGTAATGAATGTACCTATGAGCATTATCGTCATTTGTCTTAGTGACTTAAAATATGTGTCAGATGACTACTAATTGCCAGTAAAACTAAACTATTTGCCTATGCGATCAGCATTTTTTGCTTATATTAATTTATTGAACACAATTTCGAATTGTTTGGAAATATACATTATGATACGTTTGATTTTAACCACAGAATTCAGTCATATAATTCGGTTAATATTGTTACAGTAAAATGCTACATTTATATCAGAATTCATCACTTAAGAAAGCTGTTTGTTCCAAGCAACATCGGTGAAAAGGTACAGAAATATCTTTCTGAAAAGTGAATTAGAGCATATATACCTGCGTGTTCAAACTGAATCTTGTAAACATATGTCACAGTCTTCAGGCACAGTAGAACATCTATATTATTTTATGTCATCAACTTATTATAACTTGTCAAATGCTCCATAAAGCTGCTTCACTAGAGATTTTTAACTCCGATACTAACTCAAATTTATAACATTAAGTAGTGATATAATAAATATTGTGTGGGTATGTGCTCGCAGTTGTCTAAGTTCTTTAAACAGCAGCATTGATTAGTTCTTCTTTTCTTTTTGAAACAGACTGAAAACTTCCCAACTTGAAGTCTTTTGAGATCTTTCAAGTCAAGTCTGTTTTGAACAGCTTAACGTTAAAATTTTAATCAAAAGCAATTTAGAACAACGTATAAATCAATACAACCTAATGTTGCGTCAGCGAGGTCACGTGACTAGTATCACGCCACTTCCTTCTCGAACCTTCGTGAATTGTCGGGAGATTACTAGATTGGGGGTAGTCTGGTATATATAAGATGGTCACAACTTGACGGGACAGTGTGTAGGTAGTGAGTAATTGAACTGCAGTCAGAGAGTGTGTAATTGAACTCGAGCACGTGAGACGTTCGTTGAGAATTATAGCGCGATTGTTGAAATTAAGTGTATCGTAAAGTTGTATTCGGAAAGAATAAACCAGTTTTATTTAAGAAAGGACTTGTGTCGCTAAAGTTTCGTCGGAACGAATTTATGGAAAATTAACTAACGAACGGAGACGTAACACTAAGAAAAACAAATTTGCTTATTTTAATTAAAATGTTCGTTGTTGAAATTTAAAACCTTTTGGTTAAAGCTTTTTATAACAGTTAAATAAGGATGTAATAAGCAGTATATATATAGTAAGCAGTTGCAATTAAAGTAAAAAGCAGAATATTAAGTTTAAGAAGGAGCTTATTAAAACGAAAAAACAACAGTTGTTTTTATATTTTGTTTGATCAAGATGAAAGAGTATATATTGTTACGTCACTGGTCGTTTGTTAATTTCCCGTAAAAATTCCTTCCGAAAAACTTCAGCGATACAAATCCTTTCTTAAGTAAAACTTGTTTATTCTTTCTCAATACAACTTTGCAATACACTTAATTTCCACAATCAGTTTAACTTAAACACACGCTATAATTCACAACGAACGATTCACGCACTTACTTACTACCGCGCTTGACTCAATTGTCCGTCTCTGTCTGTCTGCAATTCTGTATCGATTCATTGTCTGGCGCACTTATATACAAGAATACCGCACATCTAGCAAACACTCGAGCATTCACGAACCTTCGAGAATATCGTGACGTGTTACTAGCGTCACGTGACTTCCGCTGTCGTAACAATATATATTTACAGAATGAACAGCGAATTTCAGTACAGCAACTTCTGAAACTGTGGAGAATTTTTAAAAGAAAATGCTATATATATAGAGTACCTGCTGGTTAGCATTGACAATGTTTTTACAGACAAACCACCAATAGCTAAACTGGCTGATAGTATTGTTACGACAGCGGAAGTCACTTGACGCTGGTAACATGTCATGAGATTTTCGAAGGATCGTGACTTTTCCTGGCGCCATCTATTTTAGTATTTTAGCCCGGCAAATAGACAGAGATAGAGACAGATAATTGAGTCAAGTGAGCGGTAGTGACGGTAATATAAAGTGTGTGTATTGTTATCGAGATTGCAAACGTATTGACTGAGGAAATTCTGTGTATTGAGAAAAAATAAACTAATCTTAATTAAGAAAGGACTTGTATCGGAAAGAATTTCTACGGGAAATTAATAAACGAACAGAGCCGTAACAGTATGATGCTGATGTGCCAATCAGCATTATTTCTAGAAATCAGTGGTCTTGTCTTAGGTCAGTAATTCGTATTCCCCATAATCCTGGTTGGGTAATCACGGAAGTGTCTTCAAATTTTCACATTTTCGTATTTATCTCATTCTTTCTGAGCAAGGTTAATAAGTATACTCCATTCTACAAGTAGTTACTTGCTTATTAGTTGAAATTTAACAAACTGGTTAATTTTTATTAAAGTACTTTTACAATTCTGTAGTTTTCCCAACTTCTGATTGACGTCTTTAGTTTTCGTGAACTTGTTTTGACTTTCTTCAAGTTTTAAATATTTTCCAGGTGCTTATTCCATTCAGACTTTGGTGAGTATAGAAGCATTATTTAATGTAATATTTTCATTGACTTTGCACATAAGTATCAAGGCTAATCTGTCTTTTGAAAAAGCAGCGTAGTAATTTGAGGATGCCATTTCCATGTACGTGTTATAAATTAGAAAGCGATTTTTCGCAAATACAGCTTGAATGGTGAATGGCCAATAGGTAATAAATAATTAAAATAATAACGCTATAGGCATTTGGGATACCTTATAGATGAATAGAGGAGGATTTAGGCTGATAAAATCAATTTTCACTGTTTCCAGTTGTATGTCTAAGCTCTTTCTACAATACAGCGGAATGCCCCTGCGGAAATGCATATAGATTAGTTCTGTTATTAGATATTGCTACCAGTGTTGAATTCAGGGGCGTACAGTTTCACCCAACCCCCTCCGAGGCATAGCATGGCCAGGTGGTTAGGGCACTCGACTCGCAACCTGCGGGTCGCGTGTTCCAATCACACTATTCGTTGGTAAAAAAGTAGCCCAAGAGTGGGTGATGATGACTATCTGCCTTCTCTCTAGTATTTCACTGCTAAATTAGGAACGGCTAGCGCAGATAACCCTCGTGTATCTATGTGCGCAATTCATAACAAAGAAACAAACGGTGGAAAGGTTTAGATTCAACACAGTTTTTTTACTGTGCAAAACATCAAGAGAAATCAAGTGTGACGTGACACACACTGGCTTTTATGTAGGTTAGCTATATATATGTATAAGTTACAGAGTTCCAAAACAGGTTGCAATGAATAAATCGCAAATTTCTGCCGCGGCACAGCGCCTTATAGAATGGCTGAGTTCTTTTTTTTTTCACATACAAACTTTAGCTCATAGCTCTATCTCTTGACTGATTTCAGATCTAGTTATAGCCGTGGCTATTGAGGATTCCCTATTGTTTAAAATACTTTTATAAGAATAATTTATAATTTTAAAGATAACTGATGTGATAAATGATAAAAGCAATTACGTTTTGTTCAGTATCCCCCAATGGCACAGCGGTATGTCTGCAGACTTACAACGCTAGAAACCGGGTTTCGATACCCGTGGTGGGCAGAGCACAGATAGCCCTTTGTGTAGCTTTGTGCTTAACTACAAACAAACAATCCTTTATTATCATGTTGACATTATTTTTTAAACTGCTACAATGCCTAAAGCAAGCACAATTCTATTTTGTACTAAAATAGTTAGGAAGGCTAATGTACAGAAATAAAATAAATATGCATTACATTCTACAACTGCATTTGTAATAAATAAAGGAAATTTCATTAAACTTCAAATGCCAACCCAATAAACACAAAATAGTTGTTAATTATATTGAAAAGTTCTAATGTCTAAATCTTTTTCATAAACTTGAGTTGTTGTTTTTTCTCTCCCTCTTTTATAAACCGTAGTATTCACACCCCCCTTTTTTTTGTACTATTGCTCAATGCATATAATGGCAACATCTGTGCATGTGACCCGAATAATTTAGCCTTGATATTCCGCTTATCTTCGATCGTAGAGATAGAGGACGCTGAATAAATTCGTTACTGGTAAACATTTACTTTTTGTTCACGTGGGGCTTTCTGATTGGTTATATGTGATTGCAGTATCAGTAGCATCCTGTAATATTAACAGCTCAAAGGTGAGAAAAACCAGAATATAAATTTACATTGAAGGTTACTGTAGGCTGAATTTGTAACAAAAAGTAAGTAGTATTATTGCGTCCATACTGTGTTATTTGAATTGAAAAAGGACATTTTTGGTACGTAGCACTTACCAACATTAGAAATATTTAGTTTTAAGATTTAACAGTAAAACTAGTAGTACTTTGTGTTCATCGTTGACTGATTACTTAATCGTCATCAATTAAATGTTACACCACAGTTAGTGTTAGCCAGTATTTTAATGTAGTGCAATTTGATTCCAATTTCTTAATTACTTTGTTGTGTTAATAGTGGAATTAATTTGCTCTTTCCCAATTAATTGTTATCCATACTTATAAAGCTAGGGCTAACGTTATCAATGTTTTAAGTAATTAAAATTTAAATATGGGTTTGAAATTTTGTTAACTATAACGTATAATTTATAGTATTACAGTATAGGCCTACTGTTAAAATATTAACACTGTTAGTGTTAACTTTAAATTTAACGTAACTAATATTAATATTAGTAACATACATAAATTATTTCATCTATTGGGCTTTTTATTTTAAAATAACAAATAAGTTGCAATTCTGGCAATAAGCATTAGTTTAAGTTAAATACGTATATTCAAAGAATAGAAATTAAAAAGGTCCATTAAGATATGTGAAATATGTACACTTATAAGTTACACTGTTACAATGTTATTATTGCTGTGTAGTATTGAATAATTCTATTGACCCAATTTTGATGGAACATTAGTAGGCTTATTCACTTCATTATTATTATTTTAAATTAAAAGAACATTTTTTATCTTAAATAGAAACCTTTGAAGATGTTATTTTCTAATTTGAAATGACTATTATGTATACATAAGTCATACTAAACACTAAAAAAGACCATATACTTCTTAAAGGAAGTATGAAATATACAGTTCCTTATGTTGAACAAAGAAATAAGGTGTTAATTCTATCAGTCCCCTGAATAATCTTGTAAACTTGAACAAGATCTTCTCTTACCCTTCTTCTCTCAAGAGAAAGGTGAAAATATCTTAACCTGTTCTTTTAAGATAATTGTTCCATTGTTGGAATCATCAATGTAGCACTCCTCTGAATTCTTTTCAATAAGTGAATAAGAAGACCAGAACTGTACACAGTATTCCAACTGAGGCTTAACTGGTGACTTGTCTCAAGATAATTACTTCTTTTAACTTGTAATCAGTATTTGCAAGCACTTAATCATGATATTGACTTAAGTTATAAGAATCATATTCTTTTGAGGCTTTTAAATCTATAATTTTATTTTTCTTTCAGTTCAAAATGCAGATCTTTGTAAAAACCTTGACAGGAAAGACTATTACCTTAGAAGTAGAGCCTAGTGACACTATTGAGAATGTAAAGGCAAAAATCCAAGATAAAGAAGGAATTCCCCCTGATCAACAGAGATTAATATTTGCAGGAAAGCAGCTAGAAGATGGAAGAACACTATCAGATTACAATATTCAGAAAGAGTCCACTCTTCATCTTGTTCTACGTCTACGTGGTGGTATGTAGGATCTTGCAGAAGTTCACCGACGAGAATTGGGTTTTGCAGAAAGTGAAGATGGAAGTTTATGGTAGGGGAATTAAGAAGGTCCATTAAGATATGTGAAAAATATACATTTACTTACTGGATTATCAGATTACATTTAAGTAATAAATTCTAATTTGCTTTTCATAAAATAGTTTTTCCAAAATATGTAACATAGGAATGCTGATACAGAAATTTTTGGACCAACCTCAATTATAGTATCTTATACTCAGATTTTGCATCATTGATATCAGCAAGCTTTTATTTGACTGTAGAGTCACAATTAAAAACATTTTTCAAACCAGAAACCTCTTGTGAATGCTTGATGTTTTTATATTTTTAAGCAAGATGCTCTAAGAAATATAGTAAATGAAACTTCATAGTGGTTTAATATCTTGTTAGGACATGTTGGATATTGATTTTATTGGAATTTTTTTTTTTTCTCGTATAATTTAGATTCACAATTCTAATAATCCACGAGTGAAACACTACATCTACCACATACAGTGCAAACAAGGCATTTTGTCCAATATTAGGGTACTATACGTTGGCTGTTCTAAATTCTGAGTTAAAAGCATTAGTAGAAATATCTTTGACCAAAAACTTGTTATTGATAATAGCATATTACATGAACTTTTTATATGCTTTTATCATCATAATAATAATAATACTATATATTAATCAGGAAAGGATGCCTTGTGTTTACAATGATCAAATTGTGGAAGTTACATTTATTGCTGAACTACGTAGTCACAAAGACTAACATGGGACCTGCTGGTCCATTTTGGATGTTCCATCCTCTAAACTAAAACTATTAATAAATAAATTTAAAAAAAAAAACCCTTAACGCCAGCCATTATCATTCATATACTTATCAATCTTTCTCTTACACTCAAGTGTTCCCTACTCATACTATTCTCAATGTTAAGTATGAAAAAAGATGATGCATCAACACTATCAATTCTATTTACAATCTTAAACACCTCGATCAGATCCCCCATAAATCTTTTTCAAGAGAAAACAATTTCAACCACTCCATCCAAGGCACCATTCTAGTAACTCTTCTCTGAATCCTTTCCAACAATTCAATGTCTTTTCTAACATAAGGAGCCCAAGACTGAGCATAATATTCCAAATGTGGCCTAATCAGTAACCTATACAATGAAATTATAACCTCTCTAGACTTGTTTATAAAATTTTTTTTGGATATGCAATCTAAAATCCTATTTGCCCTACCACTAGCAACACACTGCTTCAATGGCTTTAGAGACTGATCAAATATAACACAAAGATCCCTTTCTTTCATGACACTGTTAAGATTATTCCCATTCAAATTATGATAACCCACATGCCTCATCTTGCATTTATTACAATTAAAACCCAATTGCCCAACTCTCTAAATGATCTAAATCCTTTTGTAAATCAGCAGCATCCTCTTCACAGCTAGCAACACCCAAGATCTTAATATCATCTGCAAATTTAAATAATTTATTGATCATTCTTTCATCTGTCATTGATGCAAATTGAAAAGAGAAAGGGTCCTAAGACAGCCCTGAGGTACCCCACCAGTAACATTAATCCAGTTCGATTGAACTCCATTTATAACAAACTTCTGCTTTCTTCCATCCAGCCACTTTACTATCCAATTTGCTAACTTATCCCCCTGTCATCAGATATGAGCCTTCTTTTGTTATCACTCAAGTGTCCTACCCCATCCTAACATTTTGTTTACCCTTAATGTAAAGAAATCCTTACTGTTAATTTTTACATTATTAGCCAACCGTTTCTCATACATCCTTTTTAATGTCCTAATTTCCTGTTTCACCAACTTTCTTGATCTGTAATCTTCTAAATCTCTTGTCATACCAGTTGATTTACATTTCTTAAATTTATGATGCTTTTCTTTAATTTTATCTCTTATACTCTTTGTGAGCCAACCTGGTTTTTTATTTGCAGCTACCTTTGTTTTTCTAGAAGGAATATGTTTACCTTGAATATTTAAAAAATTATAATATGAATGCATTAAACTTGGATTACAGTATAAAACTAGTTTTTATATTAAAGTTTAGAGCTGTAAATATTTTTTGTAATACTCTCTTCAGCCTCAATGATCCACAAAAATAACTAAGGAATGTTTGTGTACAGTATTATTTTGAATATGATGGTTACATCAAAGTGACCCGTAAAAACCTCAATTATACCTTTATTGCTGTGAAACAGTACATTTAAAAAAGAAGTAATAAGCTTTATGGTTACTAAGCAGCTCAGATTCTTCATGGTAGTTATCTTTGATATATTGTTCCAGTTGATTCCTTTACATAAAAATTGTTTTATACACTATGAACATGAAGTTATACATAGTAGTAAAAGCTTGTGTTCTGAAACAATGTTTAGTTGCCACTGTGTTTCAATACTTACCCAGTTTCAATTTGCACAAATTTCTTTATATCACTATTTACATTTGAGGTTTGATTGGAATTTCATGCAAAGCTACAAAAGGGGCTATCTGTCCCTAATTTAGCAGTGATAAACTAGAAGACAGCTAGTCAACACCACCTGCTGCCAAAGAATAGTGGGATTGACCATCACATTATTATGCCCACATAGCTGAAAAGGGAAGAATGTTCAGTGATGGGGATTGCAAGTTGAGTGCTTTAACCACCAGGCCATAGGCCTACATTGGGGGTAAAATATCCATAGACTAATGCTATACTGCAGCAGGAAGTGAATTATAATGTCTTATTAAATACACAATTTATTCATAAATTTTGTCCACTTGATTATAAATATGTAAGTACGTAAAACTTGAATTCTTAAATGATTTATAGAGATGTCCTTGTTTATAACAACCATCTGTTTTATCTTTTGTCTCATCATACTTTGATCATCTGTTGAAATTTTGGTACTTTTCTAGTTGCATTTATACAAAATAAATCCAAGTTTGAAATACGATGTCTATCAATTTTAGTAAAACATATAAATTATGTATTTCTAAAGATAAAACAATCACAAGGGATATCAAAGTTTGTTTCAAAAATTAGTGTAGAGCTACATAAAAGACTGTGTGCTAGCCTTTCCTCAGTAGCACTTCTACTACTATAATCGAATAATGAGATCTGATGCTACTCTTATAGTAACCCATGGCCCTAAAGTGTGAAGCATGTGTTTATGGCAATGGGTCATAATCTATGAATCCTTGATTTCATAGATAACCACTTTTTTCACCAAGAAAGTACTACTGTGTTTTGAAGCAGACTTAAATTTTTTTAATATTCATGTTAAGTAGTTTATAAAAATTGTTTATGTAGTACATAACGATATTCTGTTATGAAAATTTTAATATAATGTTTGTTTGTTTTGAATTTCGCGCAAAGCTACACGAGGGCTATCTGCACTAGCCTTACCTAATTTAGCAGTGTAAGGCTAGAGGGAAGGCAGCTAGTCATCACCACCCTCCGCCTACTCTTTTTACCAGTGGATAGTGAGATTGCCCGTCACATTTTAACGCCCCACGGTTGAAAGAGCGAGTATGTTTGGTGGGAGGGGGATTCGAACCCACGACCCTTAGATTGCGAGCCAAGCACCCTAACCACTGGGCCTTTTATATAATGATGCTTTGAATTTTGTTTTTACTAAATACTTAACTTTGTTACTATGAAATTAAATCAATTAAAACATTATTAGACAACCTCATAATAGCACACACTAAAAACTACAGGAACTGTGGTACATTTAAAATGGTAAAAACAAACTGGGACAGTATTTCTTGTTACGTTAAAAGGTATAAAAATGCATTTTATTTTTAGAATTATACAGTTAACAGTTTTTACACACTTTCTAAAATTACTTCTGGGAAACAGAAGTAGTCTATTAAGCCTATGTTAAAATTCTGTTTCATAATATTCTGTTATGAAAATTTTAATATAATGTTTGTTTGTTTTGAATTTCGCGCAAAGCTACACGAGGGCTATCTGCACTAGCCTTACCTAATTTAGCAGTGTAAGGCTAGAGGGAAGGCAGCTAGTCATCACCACCCTCCGCCTACTCTTTTTACCAGTGGATAGTGAGATTGCCCGTCACATTTTAACGCCCCACGGTTGAAAGAGCGAGTATGTTTGGTGGGAGGGGGATTCGAACCCACGACCCTTAGATTGCGAGCCAAGCACCCTAACCACTGGGCCTTTTATATAATGATGCTTTGAATTTTGTTTTTACTAAATACTTAACTTTGTTACTATGAAATTAAATCAATTAAAACATTATTAGACAACCTCATAATAGCACACACTAAAAACTACAGGAACTGTGGTACATTTAAAATGGTAAAAACAAACTGGGACAGTATTTCTTGTTACGTTAAAAGGTATAAAAATGCATTTTATTTTTAGAATTATACAGTTAACAGTTTTTACACACTTTCTAAAATTACTTCTGGGAAACAGAAGTAGTCTATTAAGCCTATGTTAAAATTCTATATTTAAAAGTCTCACAATACAACTTAAGGTAAAATGTTCATAGTAAAAATAAAAAAAAATTCAAGATCTCTGTAAAGCTTCTTGAGACAAACAGGTAATGTGGCGAAGAATCTTGTGAATCATAGCTGTTGAGAAAATCTAGAAAAAAAGTATTGAAATAGTTACTTCTTTTAACAAAAATAAAAGTTCAGTTGTAGAAAGTAATGGTTACCTACAAATCTTAGATTTGGCTTGCACTTAAACTGAATCTACTAAAATATGCTGAAAATACAGACAAACAACTGAATTGATACTAATAGTCACACTGTTTCTTAAACATCAGTCAAGGATCACCTTGATTTTGAAGTAACAAGGGTTTCAACATAAAGATATTGCAACAAAATGACAATTTGTTTAAAAATGGATGAAAAGTAACTACAAAATATTTTTTTATTTAAATGTCCAATGTATCTGACAGTGTGTAAAATTATATTAAAATCTTCTATACTAAGGATCATTAGTCGTATTTTGCTTACTCTATGTTTCTGTAACTTGGTATGCAATGTGTGCTTAAGAACAGTATATGGACCTTTCAATGACTAATTCTGAATTTACTAAATATATCTACATGAAAAGTGGCAAACTTTTAGTTAAAAGTACTAGTCTGTTGTATACGAAAAATCAGAGTTGGTAGTCAAATAAGCATGTCCATAAAAACCATGACCTAAAACAGGGAAATAGTTAAAGTATATAATTTTTAAACTTAAAGTTAGCATTTCCGTACACTAAAAATGTATTTTCGATAAATACTTACCTCTGCTTACAAAACAGCTTTTCTCAAGTAGTGCTGCCCTCTATCGGCACAAATTTTCAATGCACACCACTAGCCTTCCACCTCCCACTTCTGCATATCCACATGTAAATGATCATGCAGCAGCTCTCCACCAATATGAATGCGACACCACTCCTATTGTAACCAAAGCTCTCTTCACACCTGTATTTGTTAATTACTTAAACATTGGTCAGCAGACCTACACCATATATCATTGGAAGTGGGGAGGCTGGGTGGGAAATTTGAGCAGAAGTAAGTATTTATCAGAAATACATTTTCAGTGTAGGAAAATGCTAACTTCTGATACAATATCTTACCTCCACTCACAAAATAGCTAGAATCCCACATTAAATTGGTGGATGGCTGATAAAAAAATTATCCCCTTTAGGAAGCACCCAAAGAGAGACCAAGGGGGTGTGGAACCAAAGAGAAAACATCACACCTCGGCAGGAAACCACAACACATCTGATCCAGTATACTCTTCACTTTTTTATGACAGAGTTGTGAACATAAAATGTGGAAAAACATGAAGGAATCCCAGAATATGTATGACAGATAAATGAGTGGCTAGGGTGCAACAAACTGTAATGGTAGTTTGACCCCATACAACACCAGGCAGTATCTGGAATGGTACATCAGATCCATGGTAGGTAGAGGGACACCTACTCTTCACTTTGAATGGGAATTGATAGGGAAGAAGAGCTTTTGTGCTAAAATCTGTCTACACTTGCGTGCATTACTAACACAACCAACACTAGATCTGCCGGGAAATGACAGCAGACAGTAGGAAGGTGAAAAGCCCTAGTGGGATGACATCTCCAGTTCAAAACCTGATGGCAATGGGTATGGTACTTCCAGTTCATGGTAGGAGGAGGATATCTGGTCGTACACAAGTGGGAAAACGTGCTGTGTCCATCTACAAACAACATCCAGCAGATGGTAGGAAGAAGGACTGCAAACCTGGGGTGCATCTCCAGTCCAAAACTCGGCAGCAGTGGGCAATTGTCATCCAGTTTGTAGTTTGAGGAAGGATACCGGCCAGCACACATGTGAGGACTTACTTAGCTGAACCATCTCCAACACCGGATCCACTGGGAATGTACATCCAGAAGATAGTAGTGAGGAGGAACGTCTCAGTCTGAGGGGCAAACTGCAATAATATACATATATATTTGTAACATGGCGAAGTGCTTCAACCAAAATCAGGTGGCATCAATTGCACATCAATTCCATGGTAGAAAAAGTGTTATTCCATTTACTCATGATACTAATAGCAACTGGGCCATCTCCAACCAAAACAAGACCCACCAGGAATGTACATCTGGAGAATGGCAGAAAGTAGAAAAAAACAATCTGTCAGATATATAGACAGGAATACGGCATAGTGCTTCAACCAAAACCTGGTGGCATCTGAAATTGTACATCAGGTCTACAGTAGGAAGTGCGATATGCCAGAAACACCTGTAGAATGTCACTACCCTACTTTGAATAGAATGGTATGATTCATCACTCAGGAGGACAGGCATCACTGGAGACAGTGCAATGAGTAATTGCAATACCCTATTTTGAAAAGCAGAGCTACCACGGCAAAGGAGTCAATAAACCAAAATCTGACAGAACGTGGAATTGTACATCAGGTCCAAGGTAGGAAGTCTCAATACCACAAAGCATCAGAGATGGGCAGCAATCTCTGTCTACTTTACTCATGTTAATCTATGAGGGTATGGTCCGGGACGAAAATATTTATGAAGCAAAAAACCACTAGAGAGAGCTACTAGCAGTCCTACGGAACACCC